CTTTACTCGTTATATTTTTCCCTGTCATTTTCTGTCATTTTCTGTCATATTTTTTTTTCTTTTTGTTTTCGGGGTTTCCCTAATTCTTCTCTCTTTTGCTCCCCCTCCCCTCCCTCTTCTCTCTTCCCTCTCTTTTTCTTCCCCCCCCCCCGCACTGGCCAGACCCGGCTTTGGACTGGTCTGGATACGTCTTCATTCCCGGGTTGTTTGGGCCTGCGAAGGTCTCTGCCCATCCCGACCAGCAATCAATCATTCATCGACTTTTTGCACCTTTCCTTTGGTTAGTCTACCTAGTCGACTAAAATCTTCACCCGTTCCCAGAATAAATAAAATCAAAAGAGGCCCCGGACCGGCCAGCCGCAGCACCGAATCATCATTTATCTCCACCTTCTTATCTTCTACTACTACTACCACTTCTTCTCGCTCTTTCACTGCACGCACACTACTCACTACTCACTACTATTATTACTCCTCCCACTACTACTAATCATCGCCATCTCACCACCTCACCATCTGGATCATCCTCTTTACTCTTTTTCCCACGCCACTTCCCCTCAAACATCAACATTATCATCATCATTACCTATTTTGTGTCACCCTTTCCCTGCTCCTCGTTGACTCACCTCCGCACTCGCACTTAGCCTTTCGCCATTCCACGGTACGTCAGCGTTGACCTGAGGGTCGCATCTAGCCGCATATCGCCTGCCTCGTCTTTACCACGCCTCGGTCCGATCTGTCACTTCATCTGATCTTCATTGATTCAGACCATGTGCGTGAGTGTCTAATCGTCACCTTTTCAAGAACTTGCTGGCGACTGGTTCGGCGCCTTTGTACGACCAAGAGACGGGTGGCTTGATTTGCCTTTTACTCCTCATTCGCTCCTGCTGGGATATGACTCCCAACTGAGCGCAAGTGGTTCACCAAGCATCGCCTTGAGACCTGACAAGCGTGACGAACGTGACAACGGATTGATCGTGCGCGATCTTTCTCATCCCGACTGCCCCGCGAGATCGCTTGTGGGCGATCCCATCGCCCCTCCTGGATCCTCCGGACATCTCTGGAGGCCTCTCTGGCAGTCGATATTGGACTCTTGGAACCGAAAGCGTTGCTTTTCCCCCAGGACCTTCGCCCTCGACTCTGACCAACGCCCCGTTGAACGTGGTCGAACTGTTCTCTTCTACCGGCTACCCTCGTGATACCAGCGCGAACATGGCTGCCCTTGCTATTCCCGCCCCCGGCATGGGGCCCTCTCTCGAAGCGCTGTCGGCTCCGCCGCCGTTGAACACCCGTCGCCCGGGCGCTCCCCCGCTCCCCAGCATGGAGCTCCCCAGCCGACAGTTTCCCGGCGCGCTGAAATACACGCAGCTCCCCAATCCCTCCGCCCTCAACCCCAGCGTCAGCAACCTCTTGACCCCACCGGCGACGAGTCAATCGGGCGAAACCACCCCCGTCACCACTGCCCACCAGACGACCGCCGGGAATATTCCATCCGTACCAGCCACACCCGACCTGGGACCGTTCTGGCCCACCCAGAACTCATATGGCAGTGCGTCGGGTGCAGCAGCGGCGGTGGCGCGCCCGTCGTGGACATCGAGTTTGAGCCCCTATGCGAGTCGCGACACGTTCTCGCCGCCCGGAAGTAATAATGCGATTAGTCGCAACGCGGTCACCTCGCCCACGGGAGCGGACTCCATACCGCAGGGGTACGAGATGAACCAGCTGCCCCCGTTCCAACAACCGATCCCTGTCACTGCCGCGCAACCGCCGCCCCCGCACGCGCTCACGCATGCCGTGCTCTCTGCACAGCACGGTCTCCCGCCCGTGCCCTCTCCGCAGCCGCTCCCCTCGAACGATCCCTACATGGTCAAGTCCTCGTCCGCGCCCGCCTACAGCACGGTGCAGCAGCTGGCCAGTCCGCCGGGCAGCTATTCCCCCTACGGCCCCACCGGGATGGGCATGCAACCCCCCGGCCGCGTCGCGTCGAACCCCCACCCGGCGCATCACCTGAACTACCAACGCCAGCCCTGGCCGTCATATACCCTCCCGGGGTCGAGTGGGCCGGTGTGGACGAACCTGCACACCCCGAACGCCCAGATGTCCCTGACGGCGCCTAATTCGCTGATGCCCCACACTTTCAACAGTGGGTTCGAGGCGCACATGCAGCGGATGTATGGCGGCCACCTGCCGCCGCCGGGCCATGGAGGGCCCGGCCCCGCCAACGACCGACCGTTCAAGTGCGATCAGTGCCCCCAGAGCTTCAACCGCAACCACGACCTGAAACGACATAAGCGGATCCATCTGTCGGTCAAGCCTTTCCCTTGCAACCACTGCGACAAGAGTTTCTCCCGCAAGGATGCTCTGAAGGTATGCCTTTACTCTACTCGGAATCCTATCTTTTAGTTTACAGTGTATGCTGATACAAATGTTCACAGCGACATATGCTAGTCAAAGGGTGCGGCAAGGGCGATTCCGAGTCGAATACGACACGACCGCCAACGGTCAAGGAGGAGGATCGCAGCGACGACTCCAATGGACAAGCCTGAGGGCAGGAGGCAACGAAGAAACATTGCATGTTCACGGCGTTGTGAGAATTGTTTATAAGTGTTCAGGCCGCAGCGTTTATCTTGTCTTGTATCTAGTTTCATTGCGGGCCGGGGACTGGGACGGGATTTGTCTGTTGGGTTTGGCATCAGCGATGGGTTTAGTTTGATGTTGTTCTGTTGTTGTGTATACGTATGTGGGATGTAAGTAGAGCGATTTTGTTTCTTCTTTGTTTCGGCAGTTCGGAGCGTTGGCCTTGTTGTTTGTTTGGGATATGGAGATATGAGAGTTTGACCAAGTCCTTGTACAATTGTGCATGCTTATGCTTCCTTGTCGTCTACCGTGCTAATGTGTGGAACACGGACAACAGCATTGAGTGTGGTGGTGGTAGTGGTGGTGCGACTCGACTCGGCCAAAGTAGATCCGTATAGGTTTCTCCGCGACAGGGACACTTGGCTGTGTTCGTACACGTACACCATACATAACGACCATGAAGCTGCAAATGCAATCCCCTTCACTATACAGCCCTTATAAATACCCCACCATCTTCCGAACCTGCGTCAATATATGGCCATTCTCCACACCCACCAACCCCTCAAACGAATCTCCTCCAAGAACCACCCAACAAAAAAACATGCCAATGACATTGAAAACGCCCCTCTCCACCCTCCTGACCTCTTTCTCCCTCCTCCTCCTCCTCCTCTGCCTCCTCACCCCCCACGTCCAACCCCAATACATCGCCCCCATCCCCGCCCTCCCCGCCCCCGCCAACACCCCCATCACCGCCACCTACCACACCCCCAACCCCTACCTCTCCGAGCTCTCCGCCCCCAAACTCTCCGCCGTCAACGCCTCCGCCTTCGAATGGTGGTACTTCGACGCCGTCGCCGCCCACAACCCTAACCTCTCCGCCGTCGTCACCTTCTTCACCAGCTCTCCCGCCGCGTTCCCGATGGCGCCCCGCAATGGGAGCTCGGTCGTGTGGAGTTATGTTTACGTGAGTTTGCCGGATGCCCCCCCTGCTCCTGCTCCCCCTCCCCTTGGGGATGAGGGGCGGGATCGGGATGGGGGTGGGGATAGGGGTACTGGGGGTGGGAGTGGGGGCAATGGGAATGATCGCGGCGATAAAGGCGATAAAGGGGATCAGGAGGAGCCTGGCGATTTGCTGGCCGTGGGTAACCGTCCGGTGGCCGGGGATGGTGGGCGGGTGGTCAGTGAGATTGGCGTCGCCGGGGAGGAGAGTGAGGGCATCGTGTTGGGGGATGGTGGCGGGTGGAATGTCGGGTTCTGGGAGGGGTTGGGCGGGTGGGTTGCTTCTTCGGGGGGGTATCCTGGGTTTGTTGGGGAGGGGATAGGGAGGGAGAAGAACAAGAGCAAGGGGAAGGGGAAATGGGGAAAGAGCAAGAGGGTTGTTGGGCGTGGGGATGCGGATGCGAGTCGGGGGTTGTTTGCTAGGTCGAGGGCGGCGACTGCTGCTGCGGCTGCTGCTGCTGCTGCTGCAGCAGGCCCGAATCTGGAGGTTTGGATCGGGTGGGATGGGAGTCGGATTAGTGGGCGGTTGAGGTTGGAGAATGTCGGTCCCCCCCCCCCCTCTTTTTTCTTTCTGTCTGCTTGAAGTGTTTTCTTGTTTGGGTGCTGCATTCTTGCTTGAGGGTGAGTGGGTGGTATAGGGCAAGCTGACGCTCCTTACCAAGGCTACCTCCCCCCGAACGCCGTGCACTACATCCCAACGGTTCGACCCCTCGCTGAGACTCGGGTCGGTCGGCTGGGTGAATATCGTGCCGCATGCGAAGGCCACCGTCGATCTGATCGTCGATGGAGAGGCGGTCAAGTTCGAGGGGTATGGGTATCATGATAAGGTATGCCCACTCGCTCTCTCTCTTTATACAGTCCAGTACTAAGCAACGCAGAACTGGTCGGAGCGCCCCTTCCACTCGCTCGTCAAGAAATGGTTCTGGGGCCACGCCCACGTCGGCCCCTACTCGCTGGTCTGGTTCCAGGAGACGCCGCTCAACTCGACGATCCCCGTGGCCAGCGCATCGGTCCTCAAAGATGGCGTGACGGTCCTGAGCGGCTGTGAGGCCGGGATTGTCAGCGTGCAGCGGGTCGGTCATGCCGCCGCGTCCGGGTTTGCGGTCGAGGTGGTGATGAGGGGAGTGCGGGTGACGATGCTGGGGACGCGAGAGGTGGCGGGCGATGGGCAGCATTTCTTCCGGTGGACGGGGACGGTCGATGGGGAGGTGTTGGGCCAGAAAGTGAACGGAGGAGTCGCGGTCTTTGAGGAGTTTGATCTGTGAGGTGGAGGGGGGATTTGTCCGCCCCGGAGAATGAGTTAGGGCTATGTTGGTAGTTGAGCCTGGAAAGACTGCTACTAGAGGGCAGAATGAGGCATGCTCGAAAACCGTTGCTGCTTTTTCGTAAACGACCCAATTATGCTTACATTCGTCAAGTTAATCCCATCAGTCAACCATCCACTCCTCCACCAGCCCCCGATAATCCTCCATCCCATACGGCTCGATCCACTTCAGCGATTTGCCCTTCCTCCGATAATCCAGCCCCAAGTCCCGCAACAGCAAGTCCACATACGGCAACGCATCGAACACGAAATCCGGATTCCTGCGCCCGAACCCGCCCGGATAGCGATGCACCCCGAACTGACTGTGCAGCGTCATCTCCCAGACCAGATCCGCATCCACATTGGAGGAAGACTGCACCTGCAGGGCCTTCCTGGCTGGGTCGGGACACCGCTCTTGACTCTTCAGGTTCAGCTTCTCGCCCATCCACGCCGCCACCCACAGCGCCTGCGCCTGCGCCACCATCGCCGTGTTGATCGTCATCGTCAGGCCCAGGCACGCGATCGAGCGCTCCTTGCCCAGGTCGCCCACGGGGACCATGAACCGGGTCAGACGCAGGGGATGGCCCGCGGCGGCCGGCGCATCGGCCGCGAGGGGCCTGTATCCCTGGACCATGGGGGGCGGATGCTGGAGGCGGGGGAACCGTCGTCGGATCTCGTGGTCGGCGCACCGCACCACCTCGCGGGGCACGCAGTCCTCTGCCTCGGGCAACCCCAGTTCCTGCTCCAGGGAGGTCGGCACAAACTGGATCTCCGGCTTGGCCTTCCACCCGGTCGCGCAGACCAGCGCGCGGACCTGCTCAATCCGCCGGCCCGACCCCAGCGCCACGGTCCGGTCCGACAGGCCCGCCACCTCGTCCACATGCACCCGCACGCGCCCGCGGCGCACCAGCTCGAAGAAGTCCGTCGGGTAGTTGAGGATGCTCAGCCCGCTGGCGATCCAGAAGGGACTGATCCAGGGCACCAGCTTGCGGGTCTCCGGGTGCGCGGCGTAGTTGTTCAGCGTGAGCACGTCGTTCCCCAGCACCCACCAGAAGGCGTCCACGACCTTCCGGCCGAGCCAGGTGCCGTGCAGCAGCTGGCGCACGGTGGAGCAGCCGTCGCCCGCGGCGCCCCAGATGCACGGGCTGAACCACGTCAGCAGCCGCGTGGTCACCAGCTTCTCCAGCCATTTCTTCAGCGGCGTCACGTACGGCGGCGCCATCCAGACCGGGCCGTGGCCGGTCGACCGGATGATCCAGTCCACTTGGTAGGGAGTGGTCGTCGCGGCGGCGTAGACCGCGTCCCAGGCGGACTTGGTGCCGCCGAAGATCACGATGCTCTCGTTGGTGTTGGTGTCTTCGGGCGGGGAGATGGCTGGTGGCGGAGGGGCGAAGATCTGATCCTGGTAGTGGCGGAGGTCCTTGATGTGGAATAATGGTGGGGTAAATTGTTCCTGGCCGGGGAAGTCGGGGAGGTAGGGCTGCGAGGTGATCCCCGTCGCGAGGATGAGTTTGCTGGTGTGTAGGGTCGAGGTTTCGGTGATCGCATCGGGGGTTTCAGGGTCGAGATGGTCGACGGTCAAGGTCCAAGTGGTGTCGGGTTCGTGCTGGATGGTGCGAACGCGTCGTCGGAGGTGGATGTGTGGGGTCAGGTGAAAGTGCTCTGCGAAGTCGGTGAGGTATTTCTGGATCACCGCTCCGGGGAGATGCTCGCCCGGCGCGACACCGTAGGAATCGTCGAGGGGAAAGTCGCTGAACTCGTAGGTGCCCCGCATGTTGTTGGATTTGAGGCCCTCGTACAGGCGGTGCTGGGCCCAGACGCCTCCAACGGTGTCGGCGGCCTCGAGGAGGAGGATGGAGGCATTGGGATGGACTTGGTGATAGGTCTTGAGGGCAGCCAGGCCGCTCCAGCCTGTTGAGTGTGGATCAGTATGAGTCTGTGCTCAAGGTGAACGCAAATGCATGATGCATGCAACCTTACCTGCGCCGATGATTGTCACATCCACTGACTCCATTATGATAGCAGCCACCGGCATTGGGATGGAATGCCGAAAAAAAAGAAACGAAACGGGCGGAAGGGAAGGAAGAAAGAATAAAAATAGCCTTGGAAAGGGGAGGAGAGGAGGGGAAATGACTGACAGATAACGTGCCGATCGGTGGCAGTTTTTTTTTTTTATTCTCCGTCTTTTCCCTCCCCTTCCTTCTTCCTCCTTACATTATTGCACGAACAAGGAAAGTGGATGATCGCAATAACGACGGAGGTTGCACCGGTGTTGTTGTGGCGGGGTCGTTTCACCCACTAACACCGCTTAGGGTTAACGAACAGTGAATGTCGCCCGTTGGCTCCACCGTTGAATGGAGATGACAGCTCGGCTCATCCGCTGAAGCAACGGTCTGACAGGCGGCACACCCCATGCCACAAGCCATGCCACAAGCCATGCCATGAGCCATGCCGTGGGCCCACTTCCTGGCTACTAAGTTAGCCACTGGCCACTGGTGTCACAGTGCCCCCTCTCGGGGGCAGTCGGGCTTCCCCCCTGTTCTAACCCCAGGGGGACCACCGGTTCATCGGACATGGGGCACCAAACGGTCAGTAGACTATCTCGTATTTAGTGTGTTATGCCTTGCCCATTGTCCACTTCCCTGTTCTGTTCTGCAGAAAAACGGTACTCTTGCTACGTAGTAACCAACCTGCAAGAAGTACCAGGACGGGGAAAAGTGGAGCCCATGTCCGTCCATCCTTCCTATGTATGCGGGTTCTGCGTTTGTCTTTCCCGAGCCATTGACGAGTCGGCATTTGTGTTTGTTGTCCAGGGGAAAAAAGTGATACATAGAAGCAAAGAGCAAACAACGAAACCAAAAAAATTGCACAGATGATGATGCAAATCCCTCTCTCTGTCTCTTCCCCTGATAAAACCTGTCTTATACATAATAACCCCCCCCCTTCTCTTCCCCCGATCTGATCTGCCTTGCTTCGGAATGGTTCCACGGACGACTTTCTTTTCCCCTTCTTTTTGTTTTCTGCTTCCTTCCCTTTCCCGGCTTCATGGCTGACGATTTCGTCATTGAGGCTTTTACCCTCCTGGCCATTGCCATTCTGACCATTGCCTGCCGCATCGCGGCCCGGTGGATTACGGCGGGGCCTAAGAGCTTCGCATTGGATGATTATTTGATGCCGGTTGCAGGGGTACGTCTTACTTACCTACGACCAGCTTGGCTGCTGACTGCCCCAAACCCCCATTCCC